CCGATGAAACTGAGTTAGTGCCAGCAAAAGAGGCTAATGTGAAATGCCCTCAGATGGTAATTGCTTTTTATGAAGAGAGGATAAGTTGGAATTCTTCTCCATAAGGTGAAGCTCAGTAATCATCTGAATTGTTTATATGTACATGTTTACATGTATTTTTACCTATATATGTTATTATATATGTATGAGTCTTGCATTTGGAATTAAAGTTATGAAACAATAACTTCCTTATAATAAAATAGTTTGATATGTTGGTTTTGAACATAGTATAGGAGGTGTTGTTGAGATACTGTTTTTTGATCAATACCAATATTTTGAAAAGTATAATAAAAGTTTTTTGTAGTTGCTTCTACTTTCAGAAAAGAATATTTTTCTTCCATGGTATATTTCCTCTCTTTCAGTAATAAGTTTTTTTAAATGTTATACATTATTTTGTTCATGACTTAATTATAACCACTTGTCTTTTTATTGTGTTGTTGAAGGACTATCCTGATTTTTTAATTTGTATATGTGTATACCTAATACACACCATTTTTGGACTTCCTGGGTACCAAAATAGTAAGAAAAAATGTACCCCTGAGGAACGTCCTTCTCACTAGTTTCACTAGTATTTTTAAATTTGGGGTTTGGTTTTCAGTTGTTTTTTAGTAGGTTCCCTAGCAGCAGTTGCTGGTCTTGAACTTTGTATGTATCCAATCTGGACTCACAGTTTACTTCTTCCTGCCTCTGACATTGATGTCTAAGTATAGTAGGGTGTTTGCAAAATGTCCTGAATGAAAATTATTTCCCCCTACCAAAAACTTCCTCCAACCCAAATAAGAAAATTAAGACAATTGATTTTCTTTAATGAGGTAAGAAAAACTAGATGGACATTGAAAAGTATCTGCAGTGACCTATTCCTGTACAGAATATTGGAATCTGTATACTACAAACTCATGAATACTGGGAAATGTTAAGACTTGGCCTATGGAAATGCAATAAGCCTTATTCAAAGTATAAGTAAAGGGAAAATCCTAGGAATATAACTGGTTCTCTGCCTGCACATGAGTTCAACCTGAACAAGACTTCCCTGACACCCCTCCCCCAAACTAAGACAAACCTTTTGATTTTTTCTGTGCCATTCAATCTGGCTTTGATTCATCACTCTCATTAGGATTACAATGGGCCTTAATTGTTAGGGAACACTCTGTCATAGTCTGGGCTATAGAGCACTCTGCCTCAGGGCAATATGGATGAAAGTATGAGCCCTGACTGAGGTATCAGTAGATGGTTGAGGTCCTAACCACACATGAGTTTCTGCTGGCACTACTGGATCAGAGAAAACTGAATCGCAACCAAGGGCCTTGGTGTCAGAATTCAGTAGTCTGAACCTTGTTTGTCATAGTTCCTCCAGATCGGACGTGGGAAATGATAGGTTTAATGTGGTAAATCTGTTTATGTGATTCTTCTGTGGAGTGGGTGTGGAGTGAGGCTCAGGCTGTGATCCTGTCTGGATCTTTATTCATCAGAGTAGTTGGTAGACTTTATCTTTGTACTCTGGTTCAGTCTCTCTCTTGAATGATTGCACCAACCAGTAAAGAAGGAATATATTTCCCCTAGCTTCTTTGTGTCACTGGGATTCCTTGCTCAATCTCTGCCAGTGATTCCTAAGGAGAGAGGCCAGGTTCCCCATCACAATTCTCTGGATGGTTGCAGCCAGAAAATGTGCCTGAAATGTACAGACCACATAATTTGTTATGACACTGTGGTATTATTATTCTGTAGGGCACATGTTGTCCAAATATGTTTTCTGCCTGTACTGTAGCTCGATCTTGTTATCTTAAATACCCAGGGAACAAAATCTGGGATTCAGAATTTGAACACAGCCCATGAAGAGATTTGGTATGATAAGAATCTCAACCAATGGGCTGGGAAGGTGGATCAGTGGTAGAGCGCTTGCCTTGCATTCCTGAGGCCCTGGGTTCAATTCCTCAGCACCACATAGGCAAAATGAAAAAAGCTGGAAGTGGTGCTGTGGCTCAAGTGGTAGAGCACTAGCCTTGAGCTGAAGAGCTCAGGGACAGCACCCAGGCCCAGAGTTCAGGCCCCACGACCAGACCCCAAAAAAAATCTCAACCAAAAAAATCAGCTGATCGAATTGGATGCATGAAGAAATGATCAATTCACCTCCAAGAGCAAGAAATTAAGATTAAATGCATTAATCCTTAAATGTGAGTCTCATAATCTCTATACCTACAACTGCATAGACATACAAACACATACAACTCATACAAACACAATGGATGTCAGTGTGGTGGTAAATGCTATGCTCCATTGGAAGCAACAATTGATGGAAGGAAAAATTCTAAGACCTTATTCAAAATATAACTCAACTATGCAGGTGCCATTGGCTCACACCTGTAATCCTAGCTATTTATTGGCTAAGATCTGAGATTGAGGTTCAAAGCCAGCCTGGACAGTAAAGTCTGGGAGACTCCCATCTCCAAATAATCACAGAAAAAGCCAGAAGTGGTGCTATGACTCAAGTGGTAGAGTGCTAGCCTTGGGCAAAAGAATCACAGAGACAGCTCCAAGGACCAGAGTTCAAGCCCTCAAATTATATGTGTGTGTGTATACACATGTATATGTATATCTTAACTTAAAATGAATGATGGTATAGTTCCAGTGGTACAACGTTGGCTGAGGAATAGAAATGGAAATATTTATTTCCCACTCCCCTATGAAATACGATATTTCTCCCTGTGCTACTGACTATGGGAAGCATAACTGGCAAGGTGAGGTCCCAATGTCACTGTTGTGCACTGTGGGAAATTCTAGGCTATAAAATATAGGGACAGGCAAGATGGGATAGGGTTGTGAACATTCAACTGCAGTGTCTACTGATGCCAGCTGGGAGATCTATAAGTCCAAATTACACAGAAGCTCTGTTCTGGCACCACTATGGCAGTGGGAGTTGCCTCCTAGTATTTTGTCCTGTCACTTGGTCCACAAGTCTGCTCCTCAGGTCTTATTATGATGTGGCCACCAGGTAGACATTAGTGGGATGACAATTGCAGTTTGGAAGAAGGTTTGAAGTGCCAGATGTGGCCACCTGCTTCTGATGTGGGTTCCTGAAGTCAGGACTTCTGAGTTCTTCTCTAGGTGTCCACTGATGCCAGTAGTTTATCAGAATACCCCTGCCCTCCTGCCTGGTACAATACTGATTACATCTTGGTTTTGCATGTAAAGTCTACTTGAAAAGGAAAATATTTCCAGGCCAGTGGGAGCCACTTGATCTTAGCTAATGCACCCAAAAGGAGCATGGTTCCTGCAGTGGTCTGAATAGACAAAAAGGCAACCAAAGTCTCTAGTGCCTCCTGAGTACCTAAATATGTGGTGGTCATGTGACATTTTGATTCATTAGGGCCTGTATTGTTCACATGGTATTTCTGATGGCTATGTTGCCCAATCCTGATAGCCTAGCTAATTTGGGAGCAAGTGTCAATGTGGCTGAATCTTGCTTTTACCTATGCACAGGTAAAATGTTGGCATGGCCTCTGACTCCCCCACCCCAAATTGTCTGTGAGTACTGGTGCCATGGCTCAAAGAGTAGAATGACCTCCAAAACAAGAAATCTAATCTAGAGGGAGGCTAATCCCTGAATCTAAGTTCCCAAGACAAACCCAAATATATCAAGCATCTCTGTTTGGTCGTTCTCTTCTTGCTAGACTCAAAGTTCCAGAAGGTGAAGTGAGAATTGTGAGACCTCACTCTGTGTGTGTGTGTGTGTGTGTGTGTGTGTGTGTACTTCTAAAATTCAACACAAATGACTGGAGTGCAAGTACAGGTTCTCTTTATGAGAACAAATCTAAACAATACTCTCTCTCTCTCTCTCTCTCTCTCTCTCACACACACACACACACACACACACACACCACAATAGAAAATACACTAAGTTCTCCCTGTATTCATGTCTGGGTTTGGTTCCTTACTATAACTGAGAACATGAAGGGCAGGGATTACTGCTGGTCAAGTACTTGAATCTTCAGGTATCTGAATATTTTGAAAGGGTAGGACCATCTTTTGTGGTTTAAACCACCACCTATAAAGTCTGCAGATGCCTGGTTTTAGCACTACATTTCTTGGCCACACACAAGCTCTGAGTTGGCAGCAGGAAATAGCCTCCTAGCTGTCTGCTAAAGTCAGGACCCAGAGATGCAGTCTTCCATGTGTTAGTGGTGCCACCAGGTGGAAAGAAAAGGGAAGACCAGTGCATGTTTGGGAGCAGGTGGAAGTTCCAGCTGTGGCTATAGGCTGCTTCTACTACGGAATCTAGAGTCAAGCAATCTGGATTCTTCTCTCATTATCTAAGAGTGCCAGAAGTTGTGCAAAATCCCTCTCCTCCTGCTGCCTGATGCATTTGGGTTGCCACTGTCCTTGAGGCCATGCCACTAGCCAGTGAGGGAGGAACTAGATGCCATGGGAACTCCCTGCTGAATCTCAGCTTATATGGCCTGAGAGGCAGAATTCAGTTCCTCCACCCACCTGCAGCCACCAAATAGGGACAGAAGACTGTAGGTAAAATTAATTTGTGGTGGCAGAGTGGCATTGTATTTTAGTATGGCCTATGTTGCTAAAGTGGTTATTCTGGTGACTGTGATGCTCATTCCTTTTATCCTAGCTAATCCTAGATATAGGTGTCTGTATAATTTCTCTGCCTCCTCCTATCTGTGATTGATCCCTCACTATGCATTGTAGGATGAGTAGCAAGAGTTGGTGCTGGAGAGTGTGCATCATTCTGGGCATATCGATTGTCCACAAGGTCACAATGATGCGTGTGTACATGGGGTGTGAGCCTGGCTGGCATTGTGCGCAGGTGCAGGCAGGGGCGGTAGAGGTCCTAAGGGTCTGCATAGTGGGCACTGGCATTCTCGGTTCTTTTTTTTTCACCATGCAATGAAGTCTTTTATTAGGCATAGGTTTTTAAATGTCTTTAGTAATTCCATACACAGGAAAAAATTACCTGCCATTTAAAACATATTAGAACTTGCAAGACTCATCTCTGCCTAGAGAAGGAAAGTTACCCTGGAGCATGCTTAACCAGGAGGCCAGCGCATCTGACGACCACCAAGAACATGGAGATGAACATGGTAGACAGACTGGCCGCCATCTATACCTTCATTCACCACCATGTGATAGCCCTTCTTTAGGCCCAGATCAGCAGCACACTTCTTGCCAACAATCATCAAATGTCCAAGAAGACTTTCATCATCATCTTCAGCTACAGAAATCTGGGATATATGTTTCTTGGGGATCACCAGAAAATGGGTTGGTGCTTGAGGGGAAATGTCATGGGAAGCAAGACACCGGTCGTCCTCGAAAATGATTTTGGTGGGGTTTTCCTTGCGGATGATCTTCCCAAAGAACGTGTCGCCACCAGGCCGGGCCACCTGAACCTTGGCGATCTCATCGGCCATCTCGGCCTCCCTCCCCCACGGCGGCCAGGGGGAAGTCGAGAGCCGAGAGGATCCCCTGGCAATGGAGGCAGCGGCAGCTGGCATTCCCATTTCTAAGGAAATTTCCCCATGGCTGTTTTCTGCATAGCGGTTCTAGAGGTCTGATCTTCAGCGGTTCCTTTGAAGACACCAGCAGGGAGAGACAAGGGGATGACAAGCACTTCTTTGGGAGTGGGGTTAAAGTGGTGATGGTGACTCCCTTCTCATGCGGAAGGGTAGGGCATTGGGGTTCCTGTTGTTGTAAGGTGCCTCAGTCACATGAGGACATTTTAAGAGATCGAATCAGTAGACTTTATTAAAAGGCCAGTGTCTGCAGGCAGACTTCTGTCTCAAAGACCTGCAGGCTGCAGGGAGCATGCACCAAGGTTTTAAGGACAAAAACCACATGTTTGGGTGGTGAAAAAGCTTCAGTATAAAGGCACCAAGAGAGGCACCAAGAGCAGGGCTTACCTGAGGCTAAATAAGACAATGCATTCGTATATTGTCTCTGGGTCTAAACAACATGCTGGGGCCTCGCTGGTTTTCAATGCAGTTTTTAGGCAGTGGCTCCTGGGTAATTTACCAGGGTGACAACTATTGTTAACCAGATTTCTTTCCAATAAGGCTAGGATTTTCTGGGAGGAGCCTGTAACCATCTCTCACAAGTGTGGTCTCCATACTTGCACATTTGTTATCACTGTTTCCCATGCCAATTCCTTTTATCAATCCTGCCTCATTTTCCAAAAATGACTTTGGTCCCTTGTTCTTTTCTGTTGTTGTTTCTTTTCTTTATTGTGAAAATACCATACAGAGGGGTTACAATTACATGGCAAGGTAATGAGTACATTTCTTATCAAGCATTGTTGCCTCCTCCTTTGTTTCCCCTTCCCATAACTTCCCATTTCCCTCCCCCTTGCACCCCTCCCAGTGAAAACAGGGGTTATACCAGGGGGGAGGGACATACAAATCAACAAAGAAATCATCTTATAAATACGTTAGAAACAATCGCAAGAAAGAAAAAACATTTGAATCCTTATTTTCGGGTTCATTTCACCTAACATCAACTTATTGGACCCTTGTTCTTAAGGGGGAAGTGGTTAATGGACGAAGATCTATCTTTTGTAACTTCTTCAAGCTGACTCATGGATGCTGACCCTGCCTAACCAGGAGCCTAAAACCTTATCCTATTTTACCAAGAGTTGCCAGGATCAGATGTTGTTATGAGCAATATTTACTCCAAACTGGAAAGTACATACAACATTTAACTTTTAACAACTGCATAGAATTTTTTCTGGACTAAAATAGTGTCAGTTGCTTAGCACTCTAGTCTGCAAAGGCATTTTCCTGGCTGCCTGGAGAACCTGATTTTTGCTGACATTCACAATGCCTAAGTTAACTGTGCAGACTTTTAGAGAGTTCTCAATAGGGACATGATTTCAGGTCCACAAACTTCTTTTCCTGAACATGTGGCCATAGTGTCAGCCAAAAGTCCCTGCTAGTTAGGGCTTTGAGCAGATACAGGGGGGTGGAATTTTACACTATCTTCCCTTTGACAACCCTAGCTTTTTACTACCCACTAGAACAGATTAATGACAAGCACAGTTACAAAGCAGACCCACATGGGCATTAGATAGGCATGGTTATAAACTATTTTCCTATGACCGCTCGGCTCTGATTAATTTTGAAGGGCCAAGCACAAGTAACTCCAGGATCTAACACCATCTCTCTCATCTGATCAGTGTTTTTCAACTGCCTCCAGATGCTTCATTGCTATCCCAGGAGTGTTTTTTGTTTTGTTTTTCTGGGATAATGTTCCATTGGCCTTTTCCTTGGTCAGTCGCTGGACTTGAGCATTATCCCTGAGCTCTCCCGCTCAATGCCAGTACCACAGCACAACTCCACTTCCAACATTCCACTGGTTAATCAGAGATGAGAATCTCACAAAGATCTTTCTGCCTGGGCTGGCTTGGAACTGTAGTTTTAAAACATATGAGTCTTTACCAAAAGCTCCTTTACTCCAATTGAAGCAACAAGGAGATGACATAGAAATAAGTTTAAGCATGATTTACCTGTAACTTATTAAGAGCCAAAGTTGCAGCTGATAAACTTTTCAGAGTCATCAGTCCTTCTGTGGACCCACCTGTGATTGCTACAGAAGACCTATGAAGGCAAACTTGCACCTCTGCCCTTACCAGTCCTGGAGCATGGGCAGAATTTGCAGGTTTGGGAGGAGACTTGAAAAGGGGGTCCCCGACATGGAATGGAACAAAAACATCAACCAGATTTCATGAATTACATCCCATCCAGCAGTTAGGAGGCCAAATGTCTAAAAGACAAGTTTGTGGTCTTTAAACAAATATCTGTTAACAATGGCTTTTTTTGGGAGAAAGTACCAGGAATGTACTCTATTCAACAAGCCTTGCTCCTTCCCTCCTCCTCCTCCTTCCTGTCTTTCTTCTTTCCACCTTCCTTCTCCGAGATGTTTCCAGACTAGTGTTAAGGAAAGGAACCCAAAATCTATGCTTTGCACATGGGTGCCTTCAACATGCAATAGGAGATACACAGAAGAGAGGAATTAAAAACTTTTCAACTCAGGACCATGATCAAAGACTGATGTAGTCAGGGAAGGATGTGTGGGACACAAAATACAGGATGGATAGTAGAGACATTGAGACTTTCTCCTACTACATTACCACAGAAAAAATTGGGAGCATGACTTAAAAACCACCCTTACAAAGTGTGTGGTACCCAACTTCTGTAAACTAATGATTTAGGGGTCTGAAATCTGAGTGTTGTGGTTTGAAGTTAGCCTGAGCAGGAATGTTCCTGAGACTCTTCACTTAACCATGAAACAAGCAGGAAATGGAACAAGGATTGAAATGGTAGAGCAGTAGTCTTGAGGGAAAAAAAAGAAACAGAAAGAGGGACAGAGACACTGAGAGAGAGAGAGAGAGAGAAAGAAAGAAAGAAAGAAAGAAAGAAAGAAAGAAAGAAAGAAAGAAAGAAAGAAAGAAAAAGAGGAAGAAAATTCATACTTATTTCTAACATCCTCACCCCTTCCCAACTTTCTTCCAGCTTCTTAGGGGTTATGAGTCTGGACTTGTGGTTATAGATGACTGAATATATCATTTACTGAATAGTCTCCTTGCTCTCTCTCAAAAGAATATGTGGTAGGTTTTGTACAGCTTGTTTGAAACAAATAATACTGATTTCATAACTTAGTGACTATAAAGAATGTTTATTAAATATTTGATATGAGATTTTCTTGTTTAAAATAATGAAAAATAATATGTGGGGTAAGGGTTGGTAGCTGAAGCCTGTAATCCTAGCATGAACAAAGTCAGGGAGGGTGTTTTGAAGAACCTGGGTAATTCAAAGTGCAAATGACACAGGGAACAAATACACATCTATCAACCAGGCACCAGTGGCTAAGATCTGTAATCCTAGCTACTCAGGAAGCTGAAACCTGGAGAATAGTGATTTAAAGGCATCAAGGAGCAGAAAATAAAGAATGGTTCCATCTATAATTAACCTTCAAAAAGAAACTCCTGAAGGTATGACTCCAGTGTTAGACCTCCAGTCATGAGTGATAAAGCCAACCAAGTGTGAATTCAAATGCAGCTACCATTTCCTAGAATACAAAACAGAAAAAACACCTAAGGACCTTCTGAAGTATAGGTGGCATGAACACAGATAGCATTCTTCTGAGAGGAAAAGAGGAATGCACATGAGCAGTCATGAACATTGTGCCAGCTGACCTGCTATGATCTGCTAATTCCTGTCCCTTAACCAAGGTAGATATCCTCAGCTCCCTTGGTCAGCAAGGAAACTTGCTCCTCCCTGGAGCTCAGGGCCAGACAATGGTATTGGGCTGGAATCAAATCATGTCAGGTGTCTCTGAGGAGAGGAAACTGATCCTCTTCTTTTTCTGAATTCAGTTCCAAATTGTATTTGGAAAACATTTTCTAGTCTTTTTTCCTACCTTACTGAGACTCCTTTCTCTTTTCTCTTTTGCTTCCCCACGGCCTTTTCTGTTTTGTTATCATTCATTTACAATTCAAATCTACTTACTAATTTCATAATTCAACAATCTATAAAACAGAAATCTCCATTCCCATCACTTTTTTCCCTACTTGATTTTGGAATATTTCATTTTTACCATCTCATATCTAAGCCCAAGTTACTTCCTACAGGTGCTCAGATTTCTAATTCAACCTCTCAATGATTATTATGCATAATTACTCACATATATACTTATTCTCTAACCTTTTGTGAAGTTGGCACATTGTTCCACTCTCATTTTTGTGAGTGATGGGACTGGCGCTTGAACTCAGAGCCTAGAGATCACACAGGCCTTTCTTACTCAAGGTTGCCTCTTTATATGTTGAATGACACCTCAACTTACAGCTTCTTTCTGGTTGACTGAACATAAGAGTCTCTCCACCTTTGCTCCTCAGGCTGCCTACTGTCTTCCAAACTCAGATGTGAGCCTCTTTTTTAGGATTACTGTTATGACCCACAGATTCAACCTCACTCATGCTGTAGGAACCTAACTGCACCATTTCGCTTCAGTATGACTAGGATGATTTGGGGATTTTGTTTTGAACTTCACACTTATTTTAGTGATATTGTTCCCACGTTTGATCTGTTACTTCACAGAACGCTTTGTGTATCCAGTATCTATAGCCTTTGTAACTTCCTAATTTAGAGATATATTTCCAAGAATAGTTGGCACCTTGCTCCCTCTGTAGTGGTGTTGAAGAGTGAAGACATTAGGGTACCCCATGTCTCACATACTTACAGGCTCTGAGAATGCTAGTCTACAGAGGACATGTAGCTGAGGAATTTTCTTCTCTTCTCCACAGCTCTTTTCCCAAAGGGAACATTCAACTGGATTGGGAAGATTCCACAGCTGCAGGTTGAAACCACAGTCAAGGAAGGAAGAACTTTTAGAGGAATAAATGGTGACTGTCTCCATCTTCTGTCTCGAAATACCTGTTGCTCAAACTTCCCTTTGTAGTCATTAAGCCTAGAAGCAGAAGCATCCAGGCTTCAGGA